TACTAAGCTTAATAGCGGCAGGACAGACCCTTAACACGAACAAAAATATTGTGATTTGAAAGGGTGAGAGTGTCAGTGGATCAAAAACGCTTTCAGCCAAGAGGGACTGGGGCTTCGGAACATAATACAACAGCAGCTATTTAACAAAGGTACGTATATAAAAGATTTGAACCCAGGAGTCATTTCGTAAGCAGGTGAAATATGCTGATCTGGCTGAATGAAATCCTAAATAGGAATGCTAATGACAGATAATGACGTTTGAAAAACCTATGCGTCAGTCACTTTCAGAGTCGAGTACTAAGTGTAATATTCGTCTTTAATGGTATCAGACACTGGTCATTAAACCTATTTGCCAACCAAGACGTCATGTTGTTGATCGTCTGTCAGTTATGCCTTTAAGTTAAGTTACTGACCCAGAACTTTCTAAGGCTATGTCGACATGAAAAATGCTCCGGCCTTGTATGAACAAGAACTGAAACAAGTCGTTCACAGACTTTTGAGGTTCGTACTGGAGCGGTTGGCAATAAGGGCTTGGTGCATAAATCCTCAACATCACTCCTGAGTATTAACTTCCGTGTGCGTGGGTTCTTACTCTTTCGCTACTGTTCAAATGCCTCAGTCCGTAATGCCACAAAGAAAGGCACAGAAATCTATCCAATATGTGACAATCCACTTCCAAGATCGGCGAGGCGCAGATTCACAACATTAGAGAGTTTTAGATTGGAGTTTACCGCCAACCTCTGACCAAGGTTTACGATTACCCGTTTGCAGTTCGACGTTCAAACATAACTCGATTTAGATTGGCGGTGGATTAAAGAAGTGGATTCTGGTTTATTTGTCCATTTAGAAATAGAAGAAATAGCAATCAGTGAAAATAAAAGAAATTTACGGTAACACTGGGTTATCTAGCAGCAAAGATCTGTAAATTCTCACATTAGTTCTTCTTGCAAATTTACAGCCGCCATTTAGAATCAGCAGCCATGAATGGCACTTCAAGATCCAATAGGATTTATCAAACTTAGCATTTCGCCCGAATTTGTGCCTCTGTTAATGGATAAAGACTTGCTCCACAAGATTTTTGTATCATTACGTAGGATAAAACAAGAATTATACGCCAAAACTTTCGGATAAATGACCTACGTTAAAACCTACCTCCCCACGTTGAAAACGTTCGTCGTAAACCTCAAACGTGACACGAAAGACTTGTCACGTGACCTCCAGCGGTTAGAGGTCGCGGTAAACTCGGATCTAAAACTCTCTATTACTGAAAACGCACCGAAATCACCGTTCTTGTGTGTGTGTGCGTGTGTAAAAAAAAGTCT